ATAATAATAATAATAATTTTTATCCCGCCCCTCTGCATAATGCAACTGGGGCAGCTGACAACATTAAAAATATACATTTCATTAGCTATACATTTATATGTTTCTGAATATAGAAGATTGTTTAGATGTTATTTTGTATAGCGACAACTAACGAATGTCTATAATATTTGTATGTACTGATCTATTTTTAAACAATATATATATATATATATATATATATATATATATATATACATTTCATATTCCACAATCCCAACCACCCTTAAAATACTATTAAACAATGACAATTTAAAACACACTTAAATTAATAATACAAATAAACAATAACTGTAGCAGACTCAGGGGAGCAGGTTTTGGGGGGTTAAGCACTAGCTTTTTGCAAACCTCCAGCCCAGATAGTAGTGTAGCAGCTTACTCCAATTGGCGAGGCTTCATTGATTTGCTGCAATAACCTACAAACCATTCCCAGGAGGTCTATATATTTTATTCAGTTAGCACCCTTTTTCCTTCCAATAAAAGGATAGAAATTTTTCAGAGTTCACCTTCTACTCTGCTTTGCATCCACCTTTTGGCTAGATGCATGTAGGTTGGAGTAATTGGAGCCAGTGTAGTGTATTGTTTGGAGTGTCAGACTACAACTTCGGAGACAAGGGTTCAGTTCCCAGCTTGGCCATGAAACCTATTGGGTGACCTTGGGCAAGTCACATGCTCTCAGCCTCAGGGAAAGGCAATGGCAAATCTCCTCTGAGCAAATCTTGCCAAGAAAACCCCATGCTAGATTTGCATTAGAATCACCATAAGTTGGAAATGACTTGAAGGCACGCAACATACACACCCACCGACCCATCATGTAGTGGCTAGTCTACTCTTAGTCTACTACAAACAATAAATAATAATATTAAAAACAATGTTAAAAGCCTTTAAAATATATCAAATGCCAGATAGAATAATGCAACTCTGACTGCTTTCTGGAAGCACAACAAGCATGGGGTCAAACTAGACATTAAAAGGAATGCTAATTCCTTGTGGTTCAGACATTTTTCCCTCTTACAAAGGGATTATTCAGAGATATGCACCAGTAATCAGGCTTGCAAATTCAGTCACAAAGCCAAGCATGTTCAATGCAAGATACGTAGGTGAGGAAAATCATGTGCCGTGACAGATGTTTTTCACTGCTGGAGAGATCACTAGTTCTACATATGTGGGAAATGTCTCATATAGTTTGATCCATGGAACAAGCCTGACTTCCTTTGGAAGGGATTTCCAAGATGGTGTTGGTATAGAGAAGACCCTGCATTGTGTATTCACAAATATAACCTCCCACTGTGGCTTCATAGTATTCAAGAGGAAGACAGCCACTGGACCTGTAGCCATCATGTTGTATAGCCTTGTATTTTTTGCTCCATCTTTTCAGCAAGAACTCATGGCAGCTTGTTTGGTTCTTACCGTCTCACCCTGTCCATACCAAAAAAATGCCCAAGACAACTGTGAAACGATCATATCTGGAAAGCCTTATCCTGGCTAAT